ATCCTGCGGCCCAAGTCCGCGCGCCGTCCGGGCGCAGCCAGGTACTGCCCCGGGTTGAGCCGACGGGGCGCACCGGGGGCGCGCTCGGCAGGATCGCACGCCCTGGGGCGGGGCGGGGGACGGGGAGGGAGAGGCTGCCGGCTACCGGCTGGGGTGTCCGCACCCTGGTCTAACCAGACGGGGAGGCTGAGCGCACTGAGGGTCCCAGAGCGCTCCTGCCCATTTCGTGTAAGGAGAGGCAGGCACAGACAGGGGAGGGGTGCAGGGGGCAGCGGAGACCCCATCTACCACCACCCCTCCCGGCTCCTCTGGCCACTCCAGGGCTGGGGATGGTTCTGCGAGCTCCCTTTGATGGCAAAGGGCTTAGTCGTATTGCATGGGGTGTGGGGGGGGGGCGCGCAGGGGCCCAGGAGATACCAGGCCACCATGTGCAAAGCTGGAGTCTGTGCATTGAATATCCATCCCACCCAAGCCAGCCAGCCCAGAGAACACAAGAGCCTGGACACTGCTTGGTTAATGCACTATTCAATTTTCTTTTATTTTTAAAAATCCCAATTAGGAAGGGACTTTTTATGGTCACTGTTAAAAAGTTAGGAGATGCAGAAAAAAGTATGAAGAAAAGTTTAAATTGTCCATGAGCTCATCATCTTATGACTTGATGCTAGTTGCTGTGATCATTTACTGGCATTTTCCCCAGGTGCACAGATACACACACACACACACACACACACAGAACCAGCATCAGCACACATACAGTTTGAGGTAGTGTTTATAAAAACAGAGAAACTAGACACAATCTAAACATCCAGACATTGGACTAGGGGGATGAGTCAAGTCCTTCCACACTGGGGGCAGGAGGGAGGGAGAGAGAAAGAGAGAGCTCAGTACTAAGGCCACAGTTCCATTTCTGGCTTTTGGATGGTTAATCGGAGATAAGAGTACTATGGACTTTCCTTCCCAGGCTGGCTTCAAACCACAATCCCCAGATCTCAGCCTTCTGAGACCTGAGGTCACGGGAGCCCAGCTACAAATTTATTTCTCCTTCACAGTTCCCAGATGGGAGATTTGTGGTTGGCTTAGATCTTAGCCACCTGAACAGGTGATGGCTTTTTCCTCTTTCACCTTTTGGCAGCATTGCCATTCTTCCATTTTGGGGTCACTATGAAGTAAAATGTAACACAGGTGCTGTGATAAAATGATAGTTGATCTGATAACCAGAATGGTTGCTAAGCAACAGTTTGAATATGATAGACAAGGATGATTCATATCCCGAGTGGGACCATGGAATAGGATTTCATGACTACTCAGAATGGTTGCAATGCAGTGGGTTGTTTCTGGAATTTTCCTTTTAATTATACACATATATGTAATGTAAAATATATATTATACATACATATATATGTTTTTTCAAATTTTAAAGTAGCTAGTATGTTTAAAGCATGGCATAGTCATAAGCTACCAGCTTATGACTGTTCAATGCTTTAAATACACTATGAACTGTGTAACTTGAGGTTAGGATGGGAAAGAGAAATGAGGAAGAATGAAGGAAGGGGCGACATTGGCCAAGAAGCTTTGTACTCATAACCTGACTTATGGAATTGTAACCCCTTTCTACAATTACTTAATAATAATAAATAGATATTTCATTATATACAATATATTTTATTATATAAGATATAGCATATACTTTAACCTATAGTGAAATATATATTTTATTATATAATGAAATATATTTTCATATGTAACAAAAATATATGAAGAGATCAGGAAACTGAGATCTGAGGATGGAAGTTTAGTTTGGAGCCAGCCTGGGCAGGCAAATCTGTGAAATTCTTTTTTTTTTTTTTCTTTTTTTGGGTCCGGTCATGGGGCCTGAACTCTGGGCCTGGGCGCTGTCCCTCAGCTCTTCAGCTCAAGGCTAGCGCTCTACCACTTGAGCCACAGCGCCACTTCCGGCTTTTTTCTTTTTGCTTATGTGGTGCTGAGGAATTGAACCCAGGGCCTCATGCACGCAAGACAAGCGTTCTACTACTGAGCCACCTTCCCAGCCCAAATCTGTGAAATTCTTAGCTCCAATTAGCCAGCAAGAAGTTGGAAGTGGAGGAGTCGCTCAGGTGATAAAGAACCAGCCTTGAGTGAGAACCCAAGGCTCTGAGTTCCAGTTTTAGTACTAGTGTGACCCACAGATACAGAACTCTTTTGGAAGTACTTTTAAGTATTTCTAAATTATCTGCTGGGATATTGATGTCATAAAGATGGCCCGATGCCTTCAATGTTCTATAATAGTGGAGTCAGGGATAGTGTCCTTGAAGCAAGATGGAACATGATAGGTGGAAAATTGGTGAACTGTGTTGAGGCTGATGAAGGTCTACAGGAGTTTATTTATTTTTGTCGGTCGTGGGGCTTGAACCCTGGGCTTGGGCTCTGTCCTTGTGCTCTTCAGCTCAAGGCGAGTGCTCTACCGCTTGAGCCACAGCACCACTTCCGGTTTTCTAGCAGTTTATTGGAGATAAGAGTCTCACAAACTTTCCTGCCTGGGCTGGCTTTGAACCTCAGATCCTCAGATCTCAGCTTCCTGAGTAGCTAGGATTACAGGCATGAGCCACCAGCACCTGGCTTGCAGGAATTTATACTGCTTTCTCAGCTTTTGTTCATTCTTTCATTTCCAAATTAAATTTTAAAGCAAATAAGCCAAGGTAAAATATGTTAGTTTTTATTAAAAAATGTTTTTTGTGATTCAAAAAAAAATTTAGGATCCCATGCTTAGTTAGGCAGTTTCTCTGATCACTTGAGCTCCAGCCCCAATCCTGTATTTCACCTGCCTGCAGGCCTGAGGCTCAATCCACCCACTTTTAGGCTTCCTCTAGTTGCTGAGGTCCTGAGGGTGCCCCTCGGCCTCTCCCTGGCCCCACCGCCTCCAGTTCTACCTCCCAGGCTCCACCGCCTCCAGTTTCCCTCCATTGAGACAGAGTCTTTTTTGCCTGAGCTGGCCTGGATCTTTGACCCTCCAGTTCCAGATTTTCACATAACCTTGAGATGACAGGCAAATGCTACTGTTCCCATTTATGGGTTGATCTGGAAACTTTTCCTGCTGGGGCTGGCCTCTTATCATGATCCTCCCTAGCTCAGCCTCTCAAGTAGCTAGGATTATTATAGTCCTGGACCAAGGTGCTTGGCTCTAAGAAAGTACTTTAAATAAAACAGAGGAAGTCACTAAAAATCAAGCCAGTAATGGGCAGTGTACCCTGGTGGGTGGAGTCAGTGGAGCCATTTTGCAGGTCCCCATACCCTGTGCCACACTTAAAGAGGGACCTCTTCCCTGAGCTTCTGTGTGTCACTGTTTAGGCTATGGTGTTGGCACGACCCTTTCTTATCCTGTTGGCTTTGCATGGGGAAGGGAGAGGATGGTGGTGGGGAGATTTGATCTGATGAGCTTTCCCAGCTCCCCTCCCCCGGCCTCCTTTCCTGGAGGCCAAGAGCAGTTCTATCCCACCCTCTGGCCCTCATCCTAATGCTCCATCAGGTGGTATCTCATCATAGCTGTTTCCGTTCACAGTCCTGAGACACCGGATGACAAGCACCAGGATGGATCCCTTCAGCCCCTTGCGGAGACAGAGCCGGTCAGTGTGTCACATGGGTGTGGAAAGCCCCTTTCTCGCTTGCCTGGGGCAGGTGCAGGCTGAGTGGCTCATTGGAGGCTGGGCTGCAGGAAGGGCGCCGGAAGCCAGGTTCTGGGCAGCCAGCAGAGAGTCCCAGAGCAGTGAGGAAAGGCATAAGCAAGGGAGGCTGGTGGGGAGTGGCTGGGAGTGGGGGCTTTCAAGGTGCCCTACCACCTGGATGTCCTGCCGGGTTGACGTGGCATGGACAAGGAGCAATTTGGAAGCATTCATGGAGCGGGGGTGGGGGGGGGGGGGGGTGTCAGGGGAAATATCCTCGAATGATCTCAGACTTGGTATCTGAGTCTCCAGTCCCAGACTCCAGCTTCTGGCCATGGGTTCCCTCTTCCCAAAGTATTTTTTTTTTCCAATCCTGGGGCTTGAACTCTGGGCCTGAGCATTGTCCCTGTACCACTCGAGCCACAGCACCATTTATGGCTTTTTCTATGTGGTACTGAGGAATCGAACCCTGGGCTGCATGCATGCTAGGCAAGTACTACCACTAAACCACATTCCCAGCCCTCAGAGTATTTTCTGCTCCATGAATTCTGAAGAGGTGGTCACAGCCTGGGTGGAGGGAGAGAAAATGGTTGGCATACTCTCAGATGGGAGAGGTAGGCAGGGGTACTTTCTTCCCTGGCCTGGCTTCTGTCCTTGGCAGTTCTGGCTGTGTGGGGTACCCTTTACCCTGGGTCCCTGTGTGGAGATTTCTCTGAGCAAGCATTGGCAGGGTCTGGGTGAGGAGAGAAGGCTGGCCAGCGGCCCGAGCAGCTGGAACTCTCAGCCAGCACAGACCCAGGTGATCCAGCTGCTGGAGATGGAGTGGGAAGCGGGGAGGCGGGGAGAGGAGGGAAGAGGGGGGAACAGACCCCTGCGGCATGTGGGCACAGAGTCCTGGGGGACATCTGTAGGCTTCTGGGGTGGTAAGCATTTGGGAAAATCTGTTTTTTGTTTTTTTTTTTCTCCTCTTAGAAGCTTCCAGAATCCCAGGACAAGTCACATGTGCCTCCATCAACCTGCCCACCCTACATAAAGCTCACAAACTGGAGCAGTGGGGTCACTTTCCAGGACACACTTCACCACAAGGCCAAGTCGGTGAGAAAGAAATCTGAGGCTCCCCGGGAACCCCTTCATCCCAAGCTAATGAACCCATGGAGGCTTTGTGGATCCAACACAGATTCCCCAGGGCAACCAGCACTTGTCTGCATGGAAAGGGTGCTGGGAACTGAGTCCTGTTCTCACAAAGTGCCATAGGAAGCAAATGATACCAGCTCCCTGTTTTAAATCAACTATTCAAAACCAAATTAGGCCAGGCACCAGTGGCTCATGCCTGTAATCCTGGCTACCTCAGGAAGCTGAGATCTCAGGATTGAAGTTAGAAGCCAGTTTGGGCAGAAATGTCTGTGAGACTTTTACCTCCAATTAACCACCAAAAAGACAGAAGTGCAGCTGTGGCTCAACTGGTAGGTTGACAGCCTTGAATGGAAAAAGCAAAGGGACAGTGTGAGGCCCTGAATTCAAGTCTCAGTACTAACACACGCGCACACACATGCACACACACACACACACATACACACACACTCTCTCTATTTTTTTTAAATAGATTTCAGCAGAGTATCTTTTTTTTTCTTGATGGTACTGAGGTTTGAACTTAGGGCTTTGTATTTGCTACGCTCTACCCCCTGAGCTGTGCCCGTGGTATGGCTGTTATTTTTTTAAAATAGGGTCTCATGTTTTGCGGAGACTGGCCCTAATCCTCCTATTATGCTGGTACAACCGGTACCTGCCATTGGCTTATTGGCTGAGATAGGAATCTCAATAACTTTTTTGCCCAGGCTGTCTGTCAACCATAATCTTTCCAACCTCTACCTCCTGAGTAGCTAAGACTACAGGCATGACCCACAGCACCTGGCCCTCAAAAGAGAAGTTTCTAACAGAATTGCACAAAACTGAACTGAATGAACCAAAGGAGGGTTGGGAAGGTGGCTCAGTGGTAGAGCGCTTGCCTTGCATGCCAGAGGCCCTGGGTTCGATTCCTCAGCACCACATAAGAAAAAAGAAAAAAGCCCGAAGTGGCGCTGTGGCTCAAGTGGTAGAGCGCTAGCCTTGAGCTGAAGAGCTGAGGGACAGTGCCCAGGCCCCACGACCGGACCCAAAAAAAATGAACCAAAGGAGTTGGTAGTGAGCTCCCTGTCTCCGGAAAGATTCAAGAGCTATTTGAGAGGGAGATTCCAAGCTCCCAGGGAATAGCTGGACTAAAAGTCTTCGAAGGTTCTTTTAAATTCTTTATTCTGAGCTTAAGACACATGCTATGGTTGTGAAGTGGAAGAATGGGGGCTGGGAATGTGGCTTAGTGGTAGAGTGCTAGCAACCATAAAGTCCTGGGTTCAATTCCTCAGTACCACATAAACAAAATGCCGGAAGTGGTGCTGTGGCTCAAGTGGTAGAGTGCTAGCCTTGAGTAAAAGAAGCTCAGGGACAGTGCCAGGCCCAGAGTTCAAGACCCAGAACTGGCAAAAAAAAAAAGGAAAATTTCAGATCATGAAGGAAGACTGATTTCCTCTACTCCTTAGAAACAACAATGGATAAACCTTGGGCTTTTTTTCCCCCCACCTATGTTATCCTATGACTTCGTGGATGGTAGCCTCCCGTTTCAGTTTATTTTTTTGTGTTTTTTTTTGTCTGATGCCAGAGTCATCTTCCCACAGGAGCCACATATTACCCCTCCCTCCTTATTTTTGTCGGTCATGGGGCTTGAACTCTGGGCCTGGGCACTGTCCCTCAGCTCTTCGGCTCAAGGCAAGTGCTCTACCACTTGAGCTACAGCGCCACTTCCAGTTTTCTAGTGTTTTATTGGAGATAAAAGTCTCCCGGACTTTCCTGCCCAGGCTGGCTTTGAACCGTGATCCTCAGATCTCAGCCTCCTGAGTAGCTAGGATTACAGGCGTGAGCCACCAGCGCCTGGCTCATATACCCCTTTAAATAAGAAAAAAATAAATAAAAAGATGAGATGCTCCCAAGAGCCGAAGCTATTGGTTTGGGGCTAAGGCTAGCAGAAGAGGAGGGCTAAAGACAGAGGCCAAGACAGGAGGACAATCCCAGCCTACATCCACTGAGGCTTGATCAAGAAGGAATATCTGAGCAGGGAGAAGGCCTGCTGGGCTCCAGGAAGGAGGTGTCCCAAAGTATAGGAGGCTCAGGGAGCTAGAGCAGCCGTAGAGGAGAGAGGCAGCCAGGGGAGCCGGCCTAGCAGAGAACAGCCAAGAGGTCAAATACCCCACCCTTACTACTTGCCTCTCTTTCCAGGATTTCACTTGCAGGTCCACATCTTGCCTGGGGTCCGTAATGAAGCCCAAAAGTTTGACTAGAGGACCCAAGAACACACCTACCTCTCCAGATGAACTGCTACCTCAAGCTATCGAGTTTGTCAATCAATATTATGAGTCCTTCAAAGAGTAAGATTGGCTTCCTTCCTCCCTTCTCCTGTGGGCCACTCCTGTCTCCAGCAGACACTCTCTGCCCTCATATCCCACCCCCTGCCTTCTAGAATCTCACCACTACCCCAGGACCAAGAGAAAAGACCTCATCTGGAGTAAGCTCTTGCAATCGAGAGATAAGGTTTTAGACATTGCAATAGTGTTTAAGACAATGTGGGCAGAAACTGGGCACCAGAGGCTCACACCTGTAATCTAAGCTATTCAGGGGGCTGAGATCTATCGATTATGGTTCAAAGCCAGCCTAGGCAGGAAAGTCTGTGAGACTCTTATTGCGAATAAACTACCAAAAAGCAGAAAGTAGCGCTGTGGCTCCGCACCTAGGCCCTGAGTTCAAACCACGGGACCTGCAAAACAAAATAAAACCAAGCAAAAACTGGGTTGAAGTGTAACTAGGTTTGAATCCACATTAGCCACTGCTGAGTTGTTGGGAAATCCACTTACCGTCTCTGATCCTTAACTTTCCTATCCACAGAATGGGGATCATGGAACCTGGCTCCTAAAATTGTTATGAGGGTTGTGTAAATTCATAACAAATACCCTTGGCTGTGAATTGAAACAGACTGTTTTATTAGAAGGTGTGTGAAAGGACCTTCAAGACCACCTGGTGGGAGAACAGGCACCTCACAGCACACCTGAGGTCCCCCAATCCCAGCTAGAACCCGGGCCGCCTGACTTGGAGAGGGCAGGCCGGTGCTCATTAGCCTTGGATGGGGTGGGGCGCCTCATCCCTGGGTTCACTTCATTTTCTTCCTTCCCAGTGGCTTCTGTGGCAACAGGAATCCATTGCTTCTTTAGCCCTGATCAGTTATTAATTTGATGAATACATGAAGCACCAAGAAGGTATTGGCCTGGTGGCAGGCACTGGATGATAGAGATTCATTGCCACTGGCCAGTGTTATTCAACAAGTAGTTTTCAGACACTCAAAGAGAGATAGAGGTTGTATAGCATCATGGTTATGAGCTGGGGTTTAGCCAGCAGCCTACCCAGGTTCAAATCCTTGCTGTGTCCCCTTACCATCTGAATGACTCCTAGGTGAGTTAGTTTCTCTGTGCCTCTGTTTTCCTGCCTGAAAATAGTCATCATTAATTAACCTACCTTGTAGAAGTTTATGTAAAGATTAAATGAATTAGGGGGCTGGGAAGGTGGCTCAGTGGTAGAGCGCTTGCCTTGTATGCTCGAGGCCCTGGGTTCGATTCCTCAGCACCACATATGCAAAAAGAAAAAAGCCGGAAGTGGCACTGTGGCTCAAGTGGTAGAACACTAGCCTTGAGCTGAAGAGCTGAGGGACAGCGCCCAGACCCAGAGTTCAGGCCCCATGACCGGACCCCCCAAAAAAAAGATTAAATGAATTAATGTGTAAAAATAGCTAAGAATGGCCCTTGGCCTGTTAACTTAGATGATAGCTGTTATTATATATTTCTTTCCTTCTTGCTCTATAGCCCCAAGTCCTGGCCTCAAGTGCATGATCCTCCTGCCTTAGCTTCTTCTTTTTTTTTTTTTTTGGTCCAGTTGTGGGGCCTGAACTCTGGGCCTGGGCGCTGTCCCTCAGCTCTTCAGCTCAAGGCTAGCGCTCTATCACTTGAGCCACAGCGCCACTTCTGGCTTTTTTGTTTTTGCTTATGTGGTGCTGAGGAATCGAACCCAGGGCCTCAGGCATGCAAGGCAAGCGCTTTAACCACTGAGCCACCTTCCCAGCCCCCTGTCTTAGCTTCTTGAGTGCTGGGATTATAGCTGTGTACCACTGTGCCTGGTGGTAATTATATTTTTAGAACACTGTGCTGTCCAAATGCAGGGAGAGACTGTGAGAAAGAAGGGCTGAGGCGCCATTCTTGATGCTCTGGAGCTGGTGTGGTGTGGAGGGAGGGGCCTTGCTGGGTAAAGTGAGCCACAGAGGGACAGAAAGAGTGGCTGCTGGTGATATCCCACCCCCTTAACTACTGAAGCTGGACACATCCTAGTGTCTTTCCTATCAGGCCCCCCATCTTTCAGGCACATGGTCCCCAACCCAGGCTACACAGAGAATCTCCTGGGAGCTTGCACAACACTAGTGCCTTATCCCTCAGGCCAAGGGCAGCACAGTTTCTGGGGTACGGGTAGGGGTAGGGAGACATCCGGGTTCTTCCATGCCCCTCCCTCCCAAGCAGGGCTCCAAGGGTAGAACTCCTGCCTAGCAATCACAAGGCCACAAGCTCAAACCCCAGTACTGCCAGAAAAAAGAAGAAAAAAGCCACATCTCTAGAAGTTCTTTTCTGGTCATGGGTCTTGAGCTCAGGGCCTGAGTGCTGTCCAGGAGCTTTTTTGCTCAAGGTTAGCTACTGCTCTACCACTTTGAGCCACAGTCTACTTCCAGTTTTTAGGTAGTTAATTGGAAATAAGCATCTCATGGCCTTTCTTATCCAGGCTGGCTTTGAACCACGACCTGCATATCTCAAATGAGATATGAACCAGATACTCATATCTGAGTAGCTAGGATTACAGGCAGGAGCCACAAGTGCCTGGCATCCATAGCAGTTGTAATGCACAGTGAAGTACTGACCTGCAGGGTGCTGCCTGTGTTGTAGTACTTGGTGCTTGCGACAGCCCTGGTCTCTGATGAGAAAGATACTGTCATGTCATTCCTACTCTTCAGATAAGGAAAATAGTCTCCATAGAGGAGAAGGAACTTGCTGGAAGACACACATTCTGAAGTCCCAGGGCTGGGATTTGAGCCCAGGGAGCTGACACCACTACAGCCCTTTTCTTTTCTTTTGTCAATCCTGGGACTTGAACTCTGGGCCTGGGGCAATGTCTATCAGCTCTTGAGCCCAAGGCTAGTGCTTTACCACTTGACCCACAGCACCACTTCTGGTTTTCTGGTGGTTTATTGGAGATAAGAGTCTCACGGACTTTCCTGCCCAGGCTGGCTTTGAACTGTGATCCTCAGATCCCCAGTCTCCTGAGTAGCTAAGATTATAGGCATGAGCCACCTGCGCCTGGCTTTTCTGTAGTGGCAGTGCTCAGCCTGTGGCTCTTTGGCGCTGTGGGCTCCTGGCTGTCTTGGATGCAGGGGGCCTGGATGACATTTAGAAGACAATTGTGAGAGGTCCGAAGCCCAGGGAGAATGCACTCACTCGGTGGCTGTTCTCCGAGAAGGAAAGCCCATTTGTTACAGCCACCAGGACATACCATGCCCCCCCACCCTAGAAATCCTAGGAGTTTCTCTGATGAGGGGCAGCCCACCTCTACAATGATGGCCAGCAGAGTGGGCCGGGCCATCTCCTCTGTTGAGGTTGGGGGTGTGGCTCACTTGGTAGAGCACTAGCCACTGAGTGAAAGCCGCAGGTACTGAGTTAAAGTGCTGGTCTTGGACCTAAAAGGGAAGAATAGCTGGGTGCTGTTGGCTCACACCTGTAATCCTAGCTACTCAGGAGGCTGAGGTCTGAGGATCACAGATCCAGCCTGAGCAGGAAAGTACATGACTTTTTTTTTTTTTTGCTTTTGTTGGTTTGTGAAACTTGAACTCAGGGCTTGGGCACTATCCCTGAGTTTTTTTTGCACAAGGATAGTGCTCTACCACTTTGAGTCACCATGCCACTTTCATGAGACTCCTATCTCCAATACACTACCAAAAAAAGCCAGAAGTGGAGCTGTGGCTCTTGTGGTAGAGTGCTAGCCTTGAGCAAAAGAAGCTCAGGGTTAGTGAGTAGGCCCTGAGTTCAAGCATCAGGACCAGTACAAAAAGAAAGAACAAATGAAAGAGAGAGAGAGAGAGGGAAAGAAAGAGGGAAGGAAGGGGAAGGAACGAAGGAAGGAAGAAGGAAAGAGAAGAGAAAAGAAATGAGTATATATTGTGAAGCTTGCTCTTTTCTTTGAGACCTAACAGAGACCAGGCATTTTTTTTCTTTTTCTTTTTTTGCTGGTCATGGAGCTTGAACTCTGGGCCTGGACACTGTCCTGAGCTCTTCAGCTCAAGGCTAGCACTCTACCACTTGAGCCATAGCACCTACTTCCAGCTTTTTCTGTGTATGTGGTGCTGAGGAATCGAACCCAGGGCCTCATACATGCAAGGCAAGCACTCTACCCCTGAGCCACGTTCCCAGCCCCAGACCAGGCATTTTTGAGTGTCTTAAAATATAGCAAACTCTAAAATATAAAAAGTAATCTTCCTAGCTAGGTGCTTATAGCTCACAGCTGTCATCCCAGCTACTTGGTAGGCTGAGATGTGAGAATCAAGGCTCAAAAAAGCTAGTCTGGGCAGCAAAGTCCATGAGAGCTTTATCTCTAATTTATCAGCAAAAGGCCAGAAGTGAAGCTATGGCTCAAGTGAGTAGATGACCAACCTTGAGTAGAAAAAGCTAAGCCAGAACACAAAGCCTCCAGTTCAAACCCCAGTACTGTTACAAACACACACACACAAAATAATCTTCCTTGTGTGTTCACAAATGTCTTTACAGTCCCGAATCTGAAGGCTTCAGTGTTAGAGTGGTCTCTACCGATGTGGTGGTGCAGTATGGCTTGTGGGAAGTTTCTGGAAGCATTGGGGACCATGGCCCTGACCTTACCTGGCAGTTCCCCTTGGCAGGGATGTCCTTGGGGATAAAGATCACCCGATGTTTTGTCTTTGTGCTTGTGTCAGAAATCAAGGGGAGACCTGAGGTATTTTGTTCCCAGTCCTCCACTGTCCTTTATCAGTGCATTCTTTTCATAGTTTTATTTGTTGCCATTTGCCGATTGGGAATTTCAAGGTTAGGGTGTGTGTGTGTGTGTGTGTGTGTGTGTGTGTGTGTGTGTGTGTGTGTGTGTGTGTGTGTGTGTGTGTGTTAAAGCTTTTTCTGACTGACTGAGCCCCCTCTCTTGGGGATCATTTTGAAGGCTGCTTGAATCACTGGGCAAAGTGATTCCCTGAAAACCCAGCCAGGCCACCCGATGGTATCTGGGACTAAGGAGGCTCCTGAGGAACTCCACAGGGCTTCTGTTGCCCTAGGGTGAAAGGTTGAAGTTTCCCCACAGGCAGTGAGGAGCTCGGGCTTGGCTGGAGGGGTGACTCACAGATCCAAGTCCTGAGTTTTCTTTTTGCCAATGTGGTTCCGTTCCCAGCCCTGGTAGTTAAGCCCTGGGGCTTTGAGACCCTTACTTCTAAAACACACACAAAAATACCTTCTTTTGCTTGTTTTCTTTTTGTGCCGGTATTGGGGTTTGAACTTGGGGTGTTGGGTTCTTACTTGGCTTTTTTTTTAATTTCTTTATTGAGATTGATTAATTTCACAGCATTGTAGGATGGTGATACTTAGCTAAAGTCACACACACATTTTAACCTTCACAAGGTGCATTGTCATTATCATGGTCTATAAAGCTTATGAACTCTACAAACTTTGACACTACAACTATTTTTTTCCACATTGGGTGATATGTACATTTCTTTCCTTTTGTTAGTGTCAGCTGTTCCCTCTTTCTCTCTCATTCGCTCCCTCCCATTGCTGCCCTTGAGTTGTTTAGTTCATTTTCATCAATGTCCAGGGCAGCTGGTGGGCCCCTCTGCTGTATTTTCACACTGATTTCTGTGCCCTCTGCCTAGATTCCTTCTTATGTGCACTTGTATATACCACATGTGGGGTCAATAACAGAGTCATCTAAAAACCATGTGACAAATTAAGAAGAGGTCCTTTGTTTCTTGAGTCCTGTTTGTTTCTTGCTGTTTACTTTGTCATATCTTCTTGCATTTTGAATTTAACATCTGCCTATTTGGGAGACCATGTGCCATTTGCTTCTCTGATCTTGGCTTATCTTCCTTGGCTTTTTGTTCAAAGCTGGTGCTCTGCCACTTGAGCCACAGCTCTCATTCTGGCTTTTTGGTGGTTCATTGGAGAGAAGAATCTCCTGGTGGCCACTGCGAGACTCAAGTCTTGCAAGTGTCTGAGAAGGACAAGTCCTCACTGAGATGAATAATTCACAAAAAACGCAACCAGAGAGGACAAGGCTTCTCTTCAGCTTGGAACCGGCTACATCATTTGCAGAATCCAGGGTTAAAAAGGAACATGTGGGCTTGCTGATCCTCTGTGATGATAAACTTCAAGATGGTGGCCGTGGTGCATTAGGAGTGAGGTCCTCATAAGCTAAGCCCAGATCTTGAAGCCAGCCCTGGAAGGGAACAATCTCCCAGAGGGACTGCTTACCCGTCTGCGATCCAATTTCAGTTCCTGCTTCAGTGGCTTGAATTAATGCCGGTGTATGTCTCTCATTGTTGATTTTCCTGATGTCTTCCTGTGCTGCAGAGCAAAAATAGAGGAACATCTGGCCAGGGTGGAGGCGGTAGCGAAGGAGATCGAAACAACAGGAACCTACCAGCTGACAGGAGATGAGCTCATCTTCGCCACCAAGCTCGCCTGGCGCAATGCCCCCCGCTGCATCGGCAGGATCCAGTGGTCCAACCTGCAGGTGCGCCTCTGTGGACCCCAGTGGGAGATGGAGTGAGCCCTGAGCAGGTGGTCTGGAGCAGCCATGCATGCTGTGTCCTAGGCTGTGCAGACAGTGTGGAGGAGATGGAGAATGAGGGCTAAGGACTCCCCTCTGGAGGCCTAGGATCCCACGTCAGGGTCTCTAACTGACCTCTTGTGATAAATGTAGTAGACCACATGTCCCCATAAAGCCAAACATTGAGCATGTTTCTGTTACTACTGTATCACAACACAGGCCTTTGACCTCCAGGGTTGGGACTTTTTTTCCTTGGTCAGTTGTGGGCTTGAACTTAGGGTCTGGGCACTGTCCCTGAGCTCTTTTGCTCAAGGCTAGCACTCTACCACTCTGAGCCACAGCTCCACTTCCAGTTTTCTGGTAGTTGATTGCAGGTAAGAGTCTCACAGCCTTTCCTGCCCTGGCTGGCTTTGACAGGTGATCCTCAGATCTCAGCCTCCTGAGTAGCTAGGATTACAGGTGTGAGCCACCAGCGTCCAGCTAGTGTTTGAACTCTTGACTCCAAGAAAACACCTTATTTCTTTATCCTGGTCCTCTAGGCCATCGTTTTGTTGGAAATTCATTTGTTCTTGGAACATATCTCAAACATTTGGAAAGAGAAATTGGTGGAAAGCCAACAATGCCACCCTGGGCTGTGTGGAACCTACTCACATGGCAAAGGAATCTGCCTGAGTGCTTTGAAATCAGGTGTTGAAAGGGACAGGGTTCAGTGACTCATGATAATACCTACAATCCAGGCTATGTGGAAGGAAAAGATGGGAAGGGTCGAAGTTTGAGGCCAGCTTGGGGGAAAAAATATAAACCAAAACCAAAAACCAGTTCGTGAGACTCTGATTTCAACAAAGAAGCCAAGCATGGTGGCCATGTGTTTGTCATCTCAGCTAAACAGGAGGTAGAGATAGGAGGATCATGGTAGAAAGCTGGGCCTCGGTATGAAAGTAAGACCCTATCTAGAAAAATGAGAAAAGCAAAAAGATCTGGAGGTACGGCTCAAGTGGGAGAGCACCTGTCTAGCAAGCACGATGCCCGAAGTTCAATCCCATCATCCCCCAAACAAGTCTGATGTTGTGGGGATTCTGGTATTGCTGGGGGGTTTCCAAGTGAGCTTCCCTGTGCTCCCTTAGGAGAGCAGGAGACCAGTGTTTGGGGAAAAGGCCGAGACTGGTGCTGTGGATGCAGAGGCGAGAATGTGCATTCCGGGGTGTTGGTGGGCAGGCTTCCCCCGGGGCCTCAGGGGCCTCTGGGGCCTAGTCTGTGATGGGCTGACTGGGTGGGGTGTGTGCAGGTCTTCGATGCCCGGAGCTGTACCACCGCCCAGGAGATGTTCGAACACATCTGCAGACACATACGCTACGCCACCAACAACGGCAACATCAGGTGGGGGCTCTGTCCCGGGGCTGCCATGCGCTCAGCCTGCCCCTGGATTCTTAGCCCAAAAGTGCATTGAAGCTGGCCACCAGTGGCTCATGCCTGTAATCCTAGCTCCTCAGGAGGCTGAGATCAGAGGATCACGGTTCAAAGCCAGCCTGAGCAGGAAAGTCTGTGAGACTCGTATATCCAATTTACCACCAGAAAACTGGAAGTGGCGCTGTGGCTCAAGTGTAGAGCACTTGCCTTGAGCTGAAGAGCTGAGGGACAGTGCCTAGGCCCAGAGTTCAAGCCCCACGACCCACCCCCCCAAAAAAAAAAAAAAAGCTCAAAGACAGTGTCCAGGCTCTTAAGTTCAAATCCCAGAACCAGCCAGAAAAAAAATAATCCTTTCATTGATCAGGGTTAGGGACCCCACTTTTTAAGTAGGATAAGACCTTGGTTTTCGAACAGATGGCTCTGCTGCAGTGTTTTCCTTAGAGGCAAGAGAGCTTTTGTTTGCCATTGTCACTGTGTTGCATCCTCCCCTTCCCGTGCCCACCACCCCCGCCACAGAGCCCAACTGTTCATGCGATCAGTCACTGGTTTTCAGGCTCAACAAACAGTGCTCACTTAATGGTGAGCTCTGGATTGGGCTGGGGGCACAAGGGTGGGGCATGGGATGCAGAGGGTACTAACATCTAAGGAAGTGTTCGCCTCAGCCCACTGTGAGCCTGTGGTCTGCCCAAATGAGCTAGACAAGCATCTTCCTAATTCCACTGGCAGAAACAGAGAACATGAGCACCAGGGCTGGGGGAGGGGCTCACTCTATCTCCTAGAGAAGAGACCCCCCCCCAACTGACCTGAAAGCAGCTGGTGGGAGAGCACAGACTGCTTCCAGTCAGCTCCATTCTAGGGGCTGTAGAGGGGGAAGAGGGGAGGGGAGGCTGGGAGCTGCCCCCCGCCATGGCCACATGGTAAACAGAGTTTGGTCCCTGCCCTGGGGAAGGTCGGCCATCACTGTGTTCCCCCAGCGGAGTGATGGGAAGCATGACTTCCGCGTGTGGAATTCTCAGCTGATCCAGTATGCCGGCTACCACCTGCCCGACGGCAGCATCAGGGGGGACCCAGCCAACCTGGAGTTCACCCAGGTACCCACCCAGCCCCCCACCCCAGGCCCCGGGGCAGGGAGCCCAGAGCGGACCAGGCACCCAGTCGGGGCCTACGGACTCACGGGCTTGTCTTGCTCCTAGCTGTGCATTGAACTGGGTTGGAAGCCCTGTTATGGTCGCTTCGATGTGCTGCCTCTGGTCCTGCAGGCGGATGGCCGGGACCCCGAGTTCTTCGAAATCCCTCCTGACCTGGTGCTCGAGGTGCCCGTGGAACACCCCAAGTAAGTAGCTGAGAGGTTACGTGGGTGCAGATCCACATTCCTGTCGTCACCTGCTACCATCCAGCCTCTCCTTACACCAACCCCAAAGCTGGTGACATTGTCACCCTGCCATGCTATAGCAATTCTGCACTTCCTCGCTGGCCTGGGACTTTGGAGGTTGATGGTGAGTGAGGAGAAGAGGAGGCTTGGATGAATGGGACCCCAGGGTCAGGAAGCAGCCATCTTAGGAGAAGAACTCTCTGGGCTTCTCTAGCTAAGCAGGCCAGGTCTCTTGAGCCCTCCCTTAGCTGTCCCTGTCTAATGTATGGGAAGGAGAAGGCTCTAAAAGTAACTGTAAGAGCTCAACCAGCTCAGCCCTTGCTTTTGGCACTCTTGGCAATTGTAAACACTGCTCCGTATATTAGTACTTGATATGTGTGAGCTGGGCTCTTCTCCTTTGAATACAGACCTGCCTCAGGACCTTTGCACCTGTTGGTCTCTCTACCTGACACATCCTTTTTCTCAAAATTTGGCAAAGCACAGTTCTTGTTTTTCCTGCTCTGTCACTTCTCGGAGAAGACTCCCCTGGCCCCCTAGAATCTAACACATAGTCTCATTTTTCTTTCTTTCTTTTTTTTTTTTTTTGTCAATTGTGGGACTTGAACTCAGGGGCTGGGTGCTCTACTTTAAGCCACAACTCCACCTACTTCTGGTTTTCTGGTGGTTAATTGGAGATAAGAGTCTCATGGACTTTCCTGGCCAAGCTGGTTTGGAACCACTATCCTCAGATCTCAACCTCCTGAGTAGTTAGAATTATAGGCGTGAGCCTCTGGTTCCTGGCTTTCTTTTTTTTTTTTCTTGCTGTACATTTGTTTGCTACTGTAGAGTCTAGAGACTATGTGCTAGACTCTAAGCTCCTTGACAGAATCTTGTACTCCAGCATGGTACCTGACACATAACAGATGTACAGTTATAGATGTTTGTAGAATATTTAAATATACAAATAAGTGATATCTTATAATAATCTCATGAGGGGCTGGGAAGGTGGCTCAGTGGTAGAGCGCTTGCCTTGCATGCATGAGGCCCTGGGTTCAATTCCTCAGCACCACATAAGCAAAAAGAAAAAAGCTGGAAGTGGCGCTGTGGCTCAAGTGGTAGAGCGCTAGCCTTGAGCTGAAGAGCTGAGGGACAGCGCCCAGGCCCAGCGTTCAGGCCCCATGACTGAACCCCCTCCCAAAAAAAAGAAAAAAAAATAATCTCATGAGTTAGATGCCAGTACTGGTGTTATTTTTGTTTGTTTAGTAGTAGGATTTGAAGTCAGGTCCTGGTGCCCCCTAGGCTTGCTTGGTAGGCTGGTGCTTTACCACTTGAGCCTTGCCTCCAGCTCTGCTTTTTACTGGTTATTTTGGTGATGGAGTTTAGGGAACTTTTCTGCCTGGGCTGGCTTTGAACGATGATCCTCTAGATCACAGAGTCTAGGATTATAGGTGTGAGCCGTTTGTCTGTGGCCTGGTACCTGTTTTGATGACAGGATCTTTGAGACTTAGGGAAGTGAAAAGCCTCCCACATTCACAGCGGCTCACAGCTTGCACAGCCCTGGAACATAGAACACACTGCTGATGCTCAGAAGCCCTCAGCCATAGCTGCCCTGCCTCTTCACCAGGTACGAGTGGTTCCAGGAGCTGGAGCTGAAGTGGTACGCCTTGCCCGCCGTGGCCAACATGCTGCTGGATGCCGGTGGCCTCGAGTTCCCCGGGTGTCCCTTCAACGGCTGGTACATGAGCACAGAGATCGCAGTCAGGGACCTCTGTGACAGTCAGCGCTACAACGTCTTGGAGGTGACAGGGGACATCCAGCTGGGACAGGTGGAGGTGTGGGCCTTTGCGGGGGGGGGTCCCCTAGGGACTGCCTCACCCCGATTTACTCTACAGGAAGTGGGGAGAAGGATGGGTCTGGAGACACACATACTGGCCTCCCTCTGGAAAGACCAGGTCGTCACAGAGATGAACGTTGCGGTGCTCCATAGCTTCCAGGTAGCTTGGGTGTTTTGTGGGTCTTTTTGTTGTTGTTGGTGGTGGTGGTGGTTTGGGGGCTTGAACTCAGGGCCTGGGCACTGTGTGTCCCTGAGCTCTTATTGCTCAAGGCTAGTGCTCTACCACTTGGAGCCACAGCTCCACAGAACATTTTCTGGTGGTTAATTGGAGATAAGAATCTCACAGACTTTCCTTTGAAACTTAATCCTCAAATCTCAGCCTCCTGAGTAGCTAGGATTATAGGCATAAGCATGAGCCGCCAGCTCCAGCCTGTTTTCTCCAGCACTCTATCACTTGAGCCACAGCTCTGCTTCTGGCTATTGGGTGGTAAATTGTAGATAAGAATCTCATAGACTTTCCTGCCTGGGCTGGTTTTAAACTGTAATCTCCAGATCTCAGCTTCCTGAGCAGCTAGGATTACAGGCTTGAGCCACCAGCACCCAATGGCATACCTCTTGTGGCCACCTACAGCAGGTTGGTTCCCCAGGAAGTATGACAGTATTTAGAAACCAGGGAAAACTCCACAAAGCTGTCAGGTCCCCTGGGGAGCAGACTACTGCATGGAATCATCATTCATTCATTCATTCATTCTGGTGTTATCGAACATTCACCATGGGCCAGGCACTAGATTTGGCCATGAAGGTGGAAGGAAACAAAATAGACACCCTGGCCCCCATGGCTGGGGACAGCCACTGCGCACATCCATACTGCTTGGTGTAATATGGGCCCTGAGCTAGACGGAACAGGAAGTGCTTCCCTGGGGCTGGCCCTGCTCAGGAAGGGCTGGCCATGGACCATACATCCTGACTCCCAGGGATTCTGCACACCCACCCGACACTGGCAGGATGCCCATGTGCCCCCAGAAAACCTGTGGAGCCTCAGCTCCGTCTTCTGACCCTGGCTGGGGGCAGGGGGGATGGGAGGTGGGGTGTGAGAGTCTCCACAACTTCCTCATCCTCTTCTTTCAGGAAGGCCTTTGGGATACAAGGCCGCAAAGCAAGGATGATGGCAGTTCATAGCCATTCATCATTGACTTCCTCTCCCTGTTACTGTAAGATTTAAATGCTAGCTCGTGCAACCTGCTTAGCTGTGCAGGCCCATGGCAAGCTCACTTGGCCAGCTTTGGCTTTCGTGTTGTTTCTTGTGGCTCTCGAAGCTGTCTTCTGAGCGCTGGTCTGGCTCTCAGGAATCGCCGGGCAGCTAATGTAGGAATGTTGTCTTGAGAAGGATGCAGTGCTAGAGCAATGTCAGTTCTGTAGCAGTCATACTTGGAATTTGGAATTTTGGTCTTGGGCGCTCAGGAAGTAAGATGGAATCCACTTGATTTTGACTCACAATACCTTTCTTTTTTTTTTTTTCCTTTTTTTCTGCTAGTGCCAGGTTTGGACTCAAGGGTCTCACATTCACTCGGCTTACTTGCTTCACTGGTGCTTTACCACTTGAGCTATGCCCTCAGTTCAGTTTTTTGCTGATTAATAAGAGATGGGAGTCTCAAAGACTTCTCTGCCCAGATTGACTTTGAACCACAATCTTCAGACCTCAACCTCCTTGGTAGCTATGATTATAGGTGTGAACCACTAGCTAGCACCCAGCAGACTCAAGATACTTTTCAACTTGTGATGGGTTTACCAGGATAGAACCCTCTCGTCAGTTAAGAAGCATCTAGATACGAAAATATCAAGAGGGCTGGGAAGGTGGCTCAGTGGTAGAGTGCTTGCCTTGCATGCCTGAGGCCCTGGGTTCGATTCCTCAGCACCACATAAACAGAAAAAGCCGGAAGTGGCGCTGTGGCTCAAGCAGTAGAGCGCTCGCCTTGAGCTGAAGAGCTGAGGGACAGCGCCCAGGCCCAGAGTTCAGGTCCACGACCGGCAAAAAAAAAAAAAAAAGAAAATATCAAGAGATATGACACAAGTGTAGTGGTTCATGCCTATAATCCTAGCTATGTGGGAGGCAGAGACTGAGAATATCTTGGTTCAAGGTTAGCCCTGGAGAAAAAGTTACCAAGACGGGCTGGGAATATGGCTTAGTGGTAGAGTGCTTGCCTAGCATGCATGAAGCCCTAGGTTCTATCCTCAGTACCACATGAGCAGAAAAAGCCACAAGTGGAGCTATGGCTGAAGTGGTAGAGCACTAATCTTGAGCCAAAGAAGCTTAGGGACAGTGCTCAGGCCCTGAATTCAAGCCCTAGGACCGGCAAAAAAAAAAAAAAGTTACCAAGATGCTATTTCAATCAACAAGTGGGGCATGGTGGTCTTTCATCTAATCTATGTAGGAGGCATAAATAGCAGGATCACAGTCCAAGACCAGCCCCAACTGAAAATGTCAGAAAAAAAAAAAAGCCAAACAATGAAAGCAAAAAAGAAGGGCTGGGAAGTTGGCTCAGTGGTAGAGTGCTTGCCTTGCATGCATGAGGCGCCGGAAGTGGCGCTGTGGTGCAAGTGATAGAGCGCTAGCCTTGAGCTGAAGAGCTGAAGGACAGCGCCTAGGCCCAGAGTTCAGGTCCCACGACTGGACAAAAAAAAAAAAAAAAAAGAACTGGGGGCATCATGTGGATCACGCATAAAGCCCTGAGTTCAAACCCTAGAACTGCCATATATATGTGACTGCACTTACATGACCCAAAATCTATTGGCAACTCCTTTGGTTCCTCATAGCTTTGGCACCTGAGAAGCTTTAGCTCACCTCCTTATCGTTCCCACCCTCCATAGCTTCTAGCTCAAAGAAGAGCTGTCTTTCTGCTCATTGTGGCAAGGCCTTGAGCAGTGCCCGGCAGATGAAGGAACCCAATTAACATTTGCAGAGCACTCAGGAGGTTTTGCTGGTTGCATCTTACTGCATCCTCTCGTCCACTTCATGATGTAGGAACTGCTATCCTACAGGATTGCAGATTAGGAAGGTTAATCAAAGTCACACGGCTAATGAGAGGAGCCAGTTTGGACCATTATATGAAGCAAATGTCTCTGGATTGAATAGATTGCTCTAGACATTGTGGCTGATTGTCCTGATTCAGTCTGGGTTGAACTGGTTCCCTGCAGCCTCTACTTTTAGTATCCAGGTAATTTGTTTTTCCTATAGGGCCCCTTTAGAGACTCTGGAAGTGCCCTCCATGGGGTCACTCATCTGCAGCTGGGGAGGAGGGGCCAGAAGGAGTGGCTGTCCTGGGTCACAGATTGCTGGGTCTTCCCCGGCTCCCAGGCACCCCTGTGACCACTGGCCGCTCTCTCTTCTGCACCCCCTCACCTCTACTCACACCCTCCCCTGTCTTCTGCTACAGAAGCACAAAGTGACCATCATGGATCACTACTCAGCTGCCGAATCCTTCATGAAGCACCTGCAGAACGAGTACCGGCTGCGCGGTGGCTGCCCAGCTGACTGGATTTGGCTGGTCCCTCCAACATCCGGGAGCATTACACCCGTGTTTCACCAGGAGATGCTAAACTACATCCTGTCCCCATTCTATTACTACCAGGTGTGTGTGTGGGGCGGGGGGGGACTGTCCTCATTCCCAGCCCTGGCGCTCCAGTGTGGAGCCCGTGTACACCTGCTCTGCCCAGGATGCCTTTATACCTGTCCAGCGCCTTCCTGTCCTCCTGAAGGTGTCCTGGTTTGGAGTGCCTATGAGGTCACCTGCTGAGTGATCACACACTGGCCTCCCACTCCGGACAATAACAGCCCAGGGGCCCACCATGGTGTGCAGGCTCCACACTGGGCGGAGGAGATGCTGTGCCCTTCCCATGGGGTGGGGGCAGACCAGCCTGTCTTCCCCATCTCATCGTGATGTGGAGAGTCCCCTGGGCCCAGCCCAGCCACAACCCGAGGCACGGACCTACCCTCACATCTCCTTTTTTGGCAGGTAGAGGCTTGGAAGACCCATGTCTGGCAAGATGGGAAGCGGAGGCCCAGGAGAAGAGAGCTCCGATTCAAAGTCCTGGGGAAGTAAGTAGGAGTCATCAGGATTGATGTCTCCATTTCCAGTCCCTCAGGACAACCAAGTACTGGTGACTCACGCCTGTAATCCTAGCTACCCAGAGGGCTGAGTTCTGAGGATCTCATTTAGAAGCCAGCTAGGGTAGAAAAGCTCAGGAAACCCTTAAATCCAATCAACCAGCCAAAAGGCAGAAGTTGAGGTGTGAATCAAGTGGTAGAGCACCAGCCTTGAGCAGAAAAGCTGAGAGATAGTGCTCAGACCCTGAGGTCAAGCCACAATACTGGCACGTGCACGCACACACACACATATACGTGCACACTTGCACACATGGCACCCAGAGAAAGAATTGCTTTATAGAGTTTAGCTCCCTCAGCATTGTTGCTGAGGGCCACTTGGTCCTGTTGTCCCAACCCTTCCTCCCCACCCCTCTTTTTTAAGAACTGACAAATGGCAAGGAGCCAGGTGCTGGTGGCTCATGCTTGTAATCCTAACTATTCAGAAGGCTGAGATCTGAGGATCATGACTCAAAGCCAGTTCGGGCAGGAAAGTCTATGAGACTGTTATTTCCAATTAACCACCAGAAAACTGGAAATGGAGCAGTGGCTCAAGTGGTAGAGCACTGGACTTGAGCACAGAAGCTCAGGGACAGCACCTGAGTTCAAACCCTGGGACTGGCACATGCGCATGCGCAGCACATACCCTTCCCCCTCCCCCCTCACACACACACACAAAAGAAAAGAGCAAGGGAACAAAAGGCCACCAGTCATGGTAGATATCTGATGACAAGTGTAGATTGCTCACCAGGCTCCCCCCTGTCTGCTCTGCTCTCCTGAGTCCCTCAGCCTCTTCTGGAAGCTGACTCAACACACAGAACCATCTCTCTGTCCCCACAGAGCTGTGCTCTTTGCTGCCATGCTAATCCACAAGATTATGGCAACTCGAGTCCAAGTCACAATCCTCTATGCGACTGAGACTGGAAGATCAGAATCACTTGCTCGGGACCTGGGAACCTTGTTCAGCTGTGCCTTCAACCCTAAGGTACCTGGTCAGCTAGATGAGCCTATGGGGAGACTACAGAGGCTGCGCCAGGAAGTTGAGGGCTAATGTCCACTGCGGTGCCCGTTCAGGTTTTCTGCATGGATGAGTACAACCTGAGCCACCTAGAGGAGGAACGGCTTCTGCTAGTGGTGACCAGCACATTCGGGAATGGAGACTCCCCCAGTAATGGAGAGGTAGGTGGCTTAAGACCCTGGTCATCTGGGAGGCGGAGAGGAGGAGCTGGGAAGAACAGCG